TTGAATTCTGATCAACTAAACCAAAAAACACTACAACTTGAGGTGAAACCATTAACCCCACACACCCGATTCCATTTATATTTTACTATTTTAAACCTTAAGCTAACAGAATCAGTCAGATTAAAAATATTCGGCAAACATCGACAAATGATTTTAAATGGGTTAAGGCTGTGCTACGTAGATAACCTTTTTCATTCCATTTTCATATATTATTAAATAAATATATTTATTTCATATAAAAAATTTTATATAAATTAAAAAAATTAATAATTTAAATAACATATTTACTTATATAAAAAAATAATATAAAAAAATTATCTCAAAAATAATTTCCCTAAAAGATTATTTAACTTTAGTTAAAAATGAAAAATGATTTCGAAAGGGTTAAACTTGCCAAAGAGAACATAGTTCTGACTTGCCAAACATCTACACAGTAAAGAACCCTAATTTTTTGGCTGAATCTTAAAAACACTAATTCGGTATTTTGAGATTGTCAGTCAAGCCATATGGAAGAAGCTATGGAGATGGAGGTAGAAGAACAGATGACTCATAACTCAACAAAGAGATTCGGACTCAAAAACTCCATTCAAACCAACTTCGGCGACGATTATGTTTTCCAGATCGTCCCCAAGTACGCTCTTTCTTCCTCTTTTTGTTCCGGAGCTTCCTGCAAAATTCAGGCTGAACAAATTTCAAATTGGTGGTTGAATCTTTTAATTAATAGTTACCAGTTCGTTTTTTGATTTGTGGGCTTTTTTTTTTTTTTCTTTTTTGGATGAATGAATGGGAAGGAATGATTGGACGTCAATGGCAGTGTCGTTGTCGACGAACGCTGTGAAGTTGTATTCGCCGGTGACGGGTCAATTCATAGGAGAGTGCAAGGGTCACTCTGCGACTATCAACCATATCTCTTTTTCTGATCCATCCACCCCTCACGTCTTGCATTCTTGTTCTTCTGACGGAACCATCAGAGCCTGGGATATTCGAAATTTCCAACAGGTAATTCTTCTCTGTTTTAAGTTGCAGAACAAATAAGCAACGTTTCTAGACTAACCCATCTGAAAATGGAAGCTTCTGAAGTATGTGATTGTGTCTTTGATTGTGGGTGCTGCAGGTTTCATGCATAACTGCTGGGTCTTCCCAGGAAGTCTTTAGCTTTTCTTTTGGAGGGTCGAGTGATAACCTTCTTGCTGCAGGGTGTCAATCACAGGTCTATCAATCTGTTTTTAATGCTTTAATACATTTTTTGCGGGGCAATTAGTGTTATGAAGCAATTGGTTCTCAGTTTATTTTCTTCTGCTAGTTTTGTGGTAGTCTTAATAATTGCTACCGTAAGCTTGATTTAAAAGGAAAAACAAGATATTTTATGGAATGTGGAAGTAGATTCTCCTGCCATACCATTCTGTTTAGTATATAATTTATATGCGTAGATGGTTGATGCACTTGGTATTTGTAATGGGGCTAAAGAGTATGATACAACTTTCTCTGAATATATGTTTCAGTTGTTCATATTCTTCTTTGTCTCTTGTTGGATAATTCAATGCAGATATTTTTTTGGGACTGGAGGAACAAGAAGCAGGTTGCATGCTTGGAGGAATCCCATGTGGATGATGTTACTCAGGTTAGTTATGTTTCCTGCAGCTAAGCATCCATTTATTTCCGGTAACCATGTTTTTATCATTTTTAACGCATATCATTCTCAATGCTGTGAATGGTTAGCTTGAGGCAGTGTTTGAAGATAAATCCTGAAATATCATTATTACTTTTCATGACTTCCGTTTATTTTTACATTTGATTTAGGAGTTGCTAAAACCCACTGGTATCTTCTTCTTCTTCTTCTTCTTCTTCCTTTCTCTTTTTTTTTTTTTGGAGGGACAGGTTCATTTTGCCCCAGGCCACCAAAACAAACTAGTTTCTGCTTCAGTTGATGGATTGATTTGCGTATTCGATACAAGTACAGATATTGATGATGAAGATCATCTTGACACTGTAAGTGCTGGCATATCAGTGGATACTTGATAGTAAAAGAAGATAGCCCTCTTACATCCCTCAAAACCTCTCCACCCAAGTGAAATGGTTCCCTGGTTATAGGATTCCTTACTGGCTGAATGAGATGCGGTTTCGTAGGTCTATCGTTATTGTACTGGGAAGCTTTCAGACTAGTGATCCTGTAGCAGGCAGTTATATTACCTTGTTCCTACTTTAGGAGACTTGATATCTAGGTCCTTGTATGCATTGACCTCATCCTGTCACTATGGTTACCCAAATTCAGTCAACTTCTAATTTGGATAGATTGCTACATGAATTGATTTTTATAGAAAATTCTCCAGCCGTTCCTGCTCAAAATAATTTCCTTCCAATATATACAGTGCATGTATTTTTCTAGCTCTGCTATTTTACAGTCACGTCGATGGTAATCATATAACTAGTAATTTAATATTTTTCTTGGCTTAGGAGTTCAAAATGCTAAGTTGCTGCTTCACCAATCACCTTACAAAATCTGATTTTCTTTTTCATAATTCTTTAGGTGATCAATGTTGGAACTTCAATCGGAAAGGTTGGATTTTTTGGAGATACATATCAGAAGCTCTGGTGTCTGACAAACATAGAGACCTTAAGGTAAAGGTCTTTCTCAAACTTCAACCAATAATGAGAGCTTGGTGTAAAATTTGTAAAATACTGGGAAATAAATTCTGCTCTGATGTCCCTTGGATTGTCCCTTGTACCCTACATTTACTGGGAATATACATGGATTTGCAAAATTACTGCCCTCCTTCTAAAGACATGGTGCATTTAAAGCTCTTGTTTATGTTTTTTGGACACCCTTTCCTTAAAATGCTTAATGTGTTAATCAGTTCCTATCCAGGATGTAGAACTCTAATTTCCAGCTTAGTGTTGTCATATGCATAAACCTTGTTTTGCTGCCTTTGTAGCTTCTGGGACTGGAATGATGGAACTAATATAGCAAATTTTGAGGATACTCGTTCATTAGCATCAGAGAGTTGGACACAAGATCATGTAAGTTCTCTTCTTCCAAGCTAATTTGATCTGCCAACAGACATGGATGAGGTCCATTTGTCCTGTTAACATTACACGTTAGAAGAGGTTGAAACCCATCCACCATCAGTAATGAGCTCACTCCGCTGGCTATTATCCTTTCTTTTTTCATTTTTGTAAGGAAAATCAAATTGCTTTACATTCACCATGGTTGAGTAACGGCTTAACTTAGTTCATAGCTGTAGATTTAGAAACAGAAAGCTTCAACTTCACCTTGATGATTTATGAGTTTTTTATCCTCAGCTTTTCACACTAGGAAAGTTATGCTTGTGTACCACAATTCAATCTAGTGTTTTAACTGTTCTTTTGTTTCAACAGGTTGATTATTTTGTTGATTGTCACTCAGAAGGCGAAAATTTATGGTTAATTGGAGGAACTAATTCCGGTACCTTAGGTTACTTCCCGATACACTATAAGGGAACAGCCGTGGTAGGAGCTGTGGAAGCAGTTCTTGCGGGTGGCCATATGGGTGTTGTGAGGAGTGTATTGAGAATGCAGAGCAAGCCTTCCGCAAGTCAAGGTGTGTTTGGGTGGACTGGAGGTGAGGATGGTCGCTTGTGTTGCTGGATGAATGATGATTCCACGGAGATAAATCGATCCTGGATGTCGAGCACGTTGGCAGTGAAGACACCACGAAACCGCAAGAAAAATAGGCATCATCCATACTAAGCCAGCTATTAGCTCATAAGTTGATGTTTTGTATTCTTTTTTCGTTTTCGATAGAAATGCCATTTTGTAGTACTCTCACTTGAGAACCAAGATCCGTACGTGTTTTGATCAAACTTCTTGTGTACTCCTTTTTCCTGGTGGCCAGAAATGCAATTTCGTTAAATGCTTAGTCAACTTAATATATGTTACACCCTCTGGTAATTTTATAGTTGCGTCTTATGTAATTTAACTTCATGTTTTCGTATGATTATCATACAATGACAATTGAATTTTTTTATTAAAATGAAACTACCAAATAGTATCTACTAAAGGGAAGAATTATATTTTTCAAGGTTAAATGCTTAATTTGGTCTCCCAACTTTATGAAATGCACATTTTTTATCTCTCAACAATTTTTTGCACTTTTTTGATTCCTCAACTATACAAATTACAAAATGCATTTCGTTAGTCCTTTTGTTAATTTGAACCATTAACCTTGCTTAGGTGGCATTTTTTATATTTTTTTTGATGATGTGGAGAGCAAAACTTGAAAAAGTGATGATATGGATAAAAGTTCTTCCATGTCACATGCTACCCGGTGAAATCACGTCAAATCCATCCAAATGGATCCCACGTCACCACTAAAAATTACTTCTTTGCCCATCGATTACTGTTTCTCTTCTTTCCATAAATGGTGTTCTTTCCATTTTCAAGATTGAAGTTCACAGAACCCAGCAGATCTGGGTTTGATGTAACCCAACAAATAAGTTTCATCGAACCCAACTTGATTCACTGAACTCAATTGCCCAAAAATCCCTCACAACAACCTACGATTGCTCAAAAATCCCTCAAAATCCCTCACAACAACCTGCAATTGCCCAAAAATCCCTCGCAACAACTTGCAATTTGGATAATCTCTTGGCAAACAATCATATAACAAAAAAAAACAAAAATAGTTGCCCAAAAATCCCTCACAATAACCTGCAATTTGAA